TCATGAGGTCAAGAGATCAAGACCATCCTGGTAAACATGGTGAAACCCCGTCTCTACTAAAAATACAAAAAATTAGCTGGGCACGGTGGCGCGTACCTGTAATCCCAGCTACTCAGGAGGTTGAGACAGGAGAATTGCCTGAACCCAGGAGGCAAAGGTTGCAGTGAGCCGAGATTGTACCATTGCACTCCAGCCTGGGTAACAAGAGTGAAACTCCGTCTCAAAAAAAAAAAAAAAATTCAAATGGACAAATCATGATGTATACATTCATGGGGTAAAATGTGATGTTTTGATGTGTGTATACAACCCGGAATGAATACATCAAGCTGGTTAGTGTAGCTGTTACTTCCTTTTCATAACCTCCGTCGTTATTTTTTGTGGTAAGATATCCAAAACTTACTCAATGATTTTGAGACATACACTACATTATTGTTGACTATAGTCCTCCGACTATGCAACAGTTCTCAAAACTTACTCCTCCTGTCTAACTGGAACTTAGTAGCCTTTGATCGACAACGCTCCATTCCTCCCCACCCCCACTCCCTCAACTTCTGGTAACTATTATCCTTAAGATATTGAATCAACCTTAATGTCTACTAACAGGTGAATGGATAAAGAAAATGTGGTATATATACACAATGAAATACTATTCAACCTTAAAATCCTGTCATTTGTAATAGCATGGATGAACCTGGAGGCCATTATATTAAGTGAAATAAGCCAGGCACTGAAAGACAAAAGTACTGCATGATTTCACTTATATGTGAAATCCCAGCAATTCTTATGGAAGCAAGTTGAGAATCTCTGGTCAGGAAAGTATGGGGTTAAAGAGCTGGAGGTATCTGCCATATGTGTATAGAAATGAAAAGAGGTTACCCAGCCTGTCTTATCTATTCCCTTGCTTTACACGATTTAATTTTATTCTTTATATTGCAAACTCCTTCAGAGAACAGCTCCCAAACCTACACACACATTCATTCTGCTCCAGCAAGAGCAAAGACTAAGGGAGGAAAATCCATTACGAAACCAGCCAGCAAATTATCTCTAGTTTCAGAGGAAAGCCTTTGGCCAATTGTGATAGGGAATCAACATTTCTTTTTTTCTTTTCATTTTTTTGGAGACAGAGTTTTGCTTTTTTTGCCCAGGCTGAAGTGCAGTGGCACAACCTTGGCTTACTGCAACCTCTGCCTCCCAGGTTCAAGCGATTCTCCTGCCTCAGCCTCCAGAGTAGCTGAGATTACAGGCATTTGCCACCACTCCCAGCTAATTTTTGTTTTTGTATGTTTAGTAGAGAGAGGGTTTCATTATGTTGGCTAGGCTGGTCTCAAACTCCTGACCTCAGGTGATCCACCCATCTCGGCCTCTGTAAGTGCTGGGATTACAGGCGTGAGCCTCCTCACCCGGTGGGAATCAACATTTCTTGAGACCACTTCTATGTTAGAGGGCTTCACATTGGTTTCTCATGGGAAATATAGTAGCATTTTACTAAGTCTTTGAAGTGACTCTTACATTGGCTGGAACCAAAGAAAAGACTTAAAGAAGAACTTTAGACCTGCTAGAGTTGTAATCACCCTCATAACTAGGCCCCTGCCCCTGGGCCATGACCAGGAAACGTTGGGTTCCAGCTGCTCTTTGATGGGAAACTCCAGACTGTGTCTGGGGTTCTGGGTACCTGCAGATCAGGCCAGCCTTGGGCAAAACTGAATGGAGATGGCAAAGGCTGTCTCTGCTTCTTATGGCATTTTCCTACCTGCTGATCCTTCGTAAATGACAGTGGATGGCAAGAAGCACATGATAAATGCTTACTGGTCTCATAGAAAGTAACCCTTCCATTTAGTTAATTTACCTTGATGAGTTTCCTTGAGAGGATCCTTCAGGAATGATCTTAAAATGAGGGTCATTTTAGACCCCTTACGTGGTAGATGGTAGAGATATATTTGTTAACAAATGTACGAGATACAATTTACATATTATAAAATCCACTAATTTCTCAATAGCCCAATGGTAGAACAATTCAAGTGTCTATCCAGGGATAAATGAATAATTTCAGCCATAAGAAAGAAGGAAATACTGACATATGTTACAACAGGGATGAATTTTGAAGACATTTTGCTAACTAAAATAAGCTGGTCACAGAAAGACAAATACCATATGATTCTATTCATATGAAGTATTCAGAGTAGTAAAAAAAAACATAGAAACAGAAAGTAGAATGGTGGTTGGGAGAGAGAGAAAGGGGAGCTAGTGCCCGATGGGTTCAGAGAGCAAGATGAAAAGAGCTCTGTGAATGGATGCTGGTGGTGGTTGCACAGTGTGAATGTTAAGAATGCCACTGAACTGAAAATGTAAAAAAGACTAAGATGTTACATTTTATGTTATGTGCATTTTGCTGCAATTTAAAAAATAAAAATGACCCATTTAAAGCGTACAATCCAGTGATTTCTAGTATATTTACAGGGTTCTACAACCACCGCCAAAATCTGATGTTAGGTTGTCATCATTCCACCTTCCCTGTTCCCCCCAAATCCCTCCTACCCATAAGCAGTCACTTAGGGAATATACTTTTAACAGGACATGGGTGTCATGCCCTATTTTTCCAGGACTTGACACTCACAGACTCTTAGAAGGGACCTTAGAGATTTAGTTCAAGCTTCTCAGATGAAGAAATTGAAACTCGGAGAGGCTAAAGGTCATATAACTAATTCGTGGCAGAGCCGGGTCTTTTGAGTTCCTGTGAAGTTATTTTTCCCTTACAGAAATGCTGTGGCATTCACTTTCTTCCAGCTGATGCTGACAATAGATTCATAGTGTTGAGAAGATGCTACCCTTTCCTGCTGGACACAGCTGAACTCCTTTCTACAGCCTTCCGTGTCACCCGCCTGAGCTGGGAAGCAGAGAGAAAAGACAGAGTGGAAAAATCTGCAACTGTGTCCAATAATGTTTGCTCATGCCTTAACAATGTTAGGGATGAGTTATAATGAGTTTTATTGAGAATAATGTCTCAGCCTTTCTTAGAAGAGTAATTGGAAACACAGCGATTTTTGGAAGACTTGGACTTTTGTAGAGGTGGCAGTGGTAACCTGTAGCAAATAGCAACGTCACGTGGCAGAAATGCCAAGGCCTTGGGCTGGCAATGGGGGTCATTACCTCCCTATCCATAGGGCTGTTGAAAAGGGGCAGAGGAAGTGTGAGTTGGTGCTTCAATACATCCTGCCAGCTTATGCTTCTTGCCTTTCTACTTACAGTAGCACTTAGGCCTGGCAGTGCCATGGCCAGGGAGGTCTTTGGATAAAAGTTGGAGTCAAGGGTGTGGTGGAGGGACTAACTCTGTGAGTTAGAGCTTTCCAAATGTGCTCTAATATTCTTTCTGAGCTCACTGGTCAACTGAAGCATTTTCACCTGGCCTTATTTCTTGGAAAGCTGGTGGAGGGGTAGGGGGACTCTGGTTGCTAAACATGGCAAATGGGCAACCAAGTAACAAAGGCCATGGAAAATCATGTAACTACAGACTCGGAAATATCCCGACAAAGTCCTGAAGCCTAATCGAGGTGAGATTTGCGCCTCTCTTCTCTTCTGCCCTTTGGTTTTTTGGAGAATTTGATCTATCCTCTTCAGGGTGATGTTGGCCCTTAGGAGTGTTGGGAATTTCTCCAGCCAGGCTACTCAAGAGGCAGGTCCTCTAAATGTCCTGTGAGTTTCCATCTGATGAGAAACCCAACTGGAGAGATTGCTGTGGGGAATGACACAGGCTTCTAGACAATGAGCTCCCTGAGGACAGTGACTGGATTCTGCCCCTTTCAACAGCACTATGGACAGGGATGTAATGACCCCCATTGCCAACCCAAGGCCTTGGCATTTCTGCCACATGGTGTTGCTATTTGCTACAGTGACTCACTTTTAAACTCCTAGTGCCTAGCAGAGTGCCTGGCACACTTGTTTGCTGAATGACAGAGTGAGTAGTGACATTTCCTATCAAATGATGCATTATTATTCACGAAATGATTTATTTCCCATGCATGACCTCATCCTCACAACTACCCCTACTTTACCCCTGAAGGTAGGCAAGACCATTTTACAGATGAGGTCACATAGCTGTAGGTTGGAGAGGTGGTTTTCAGACTCTAAATCCATTAGGATTTATATATAGGTGTCATATTGAGACTGCCCTTTCTCAAGTACTCTGTCAAAGGACTAAGAGAGATATGAATAGAGATTCAGGAGTCGACCTCAGATTTAGGAACAAAATGCAGAAATCACAAATGCCCATCTGAATGTTCTCTCAAGAACGGCATTATTTTCTCCTATTCGCTAATCACTTCAAGGCATATAGGTTTTCAATTACATTATGAGTTACATAGAATAGAATTTAGGGTCCAGATGGGTAAACTGGTGAATCTCCATGTCGTTTTTAGCAACTATTTCCTGATACAGATTTGATATGATAACACTGTTGTATGTAATAGAGTTTTGGTAATTTGAATTAAATAGATTGTAGCTTTATGGCCCTGGGTCTTCAAGGAAACACATGTTCAAACATTCTCATCGCTTAATGAGATCCTTGTTCCTGTTGAACTTCAGTGACCTTATTGGAAATCAATGATTGCTTTTGTTCTTCAAAATGTAATGTTGAGGAGACCTAGATGAAATCACTCTACAAAATGCATTGAGATTGCAGGATGTGGGGAGTGTGCTGTAATTAAAATGAATGATTCTGCTTGGAGGTACAGCATATTTTAGCTCTGTGTGCATATTGTACATAAGGGAATTTTTCTATGCAGAATTATTTTCTCCCAACAGTTCTCATGATCACAGCACTCCTGGTAGCAGGTATCACCTAACTCCCTGGTAGCAGCTTGTTCAAAGCAAGAGAAGTGGGAGATTTCCTTTCCTCACAACTGTTGCTATGGGGGGAGTGGCTTCGGAGCCGGGCTAGAACGCGTTCGGCGGCTCCCTCCCCCCACCTTCGTAGACTACAGTTCCCGTGATGCTCGAGGGTGGTCTCCGTGGTGACGCACTTGGTGTCCGCGGAGGGAGGACGGTGACGGGGGCGGCGGCTGCACGGGGGAGGGGTCCGTGCTCTCCCCGTTTCCCCTACTGGCGCTGTGGCAGCCGCCGCCGCCATGTTGGTTTGAGAGGCGATGACAGGAGGCGGCCGTGGCGTGTGGGACTGAAAAGTGGAGAATTAGGAGGAGCAGAAACAAAGCTCCGAGAGGAAACCCTTCCCGGGCTGAGGAGAGGGAGGACCCGGCCTCTTCCGGGGACCAGCCGAAGTCGGCGTCGCCCGGAGCTCGCGAGGCCGGGGAGGGGAGGGAAGGCGGAGACCTGGGAGGCGGCGGCGGGGGAGGCGGAGGCAGAAGAGGAGCGCTGAGAAGCCGGAGACTATGCGCCCCGACCCCCGTTGCTGCCCGGAGGCGACCGCGGCCTGAGCCCCGAGGGGCTGTGGAGTGTCCCGACCGGCCCCAAGCACCCCCGCGCTCTCGGTCCTTCCCCCTCCGGGCTTTCGCTTTGGTTCCCAACTAGTTAAATGCCCTTGAGCGCGGGTTTCCGCGGCCCGGCTCTCCGCCCCGGCGGTGCGAGTTGAGCCGTTTCCCCGCGCCGTCCGCGCGGCGCCCGGAGAGTGGCTCCTTAGGGTCCGCGTCCGGCGTCCGGCCACCGCTCGGCCGCCACTCAAGGGTCACGCGTCGATGTGTAGCTACATAGTTATCTATGTACATCCACGCTGGGGCATTTTTCTCCTGCTTAATGAGGACTTGACTCGGGAGCGAGTGTGAATCATTGCCGGGGCTGGGAAAGAGGAAGGCGGATTTAACCCCCTCCCACCCCGCTCCATGTCCGTGTGTCACTCGGCTCGGTCCACCTGGCGCGGTCGGTCCTGGGGCTACTGCTGCTGCGGCTGCTGCTGACGACGACGAAAGGGGCTGCCGCTGCTGTCCCAGGAGTTTCCTCCCGCTCCGGCCACACAGCTCCTGGGGATTGTTCCTTCTCGCACCAGAACCTCGGCCTGGCCCGCACTTTGGCCCCGAAATAACTTATTTTGGGGGGAGAAAGCACATCACGAACCAGTCAGAATCGTGAAGGTTTATTTCTGTAGCTTGAAGACTTCTGCTCTTTTTTGTTTGTTGTATTTTTTTTTTCCGTAAACATCTGGGTATATGTCCAACGGCAAGATGTCCAGTAATGTCCCGGCGGATATGGTAAGTGACGGATAAGTTATGACACTCTGATTTAATTGTGGTTTCCAATCTTGTTTAATCGGAAAGACGGCAGGCGTGGGGCAAAGGTTTGCCGGGGACTGTCGAAAAGCCACCGTGCTGAGCGATTTGGAGAAGTTGCAGCTTCTGGTTTCCTCCTTTTAGAAAGTGCTGCTTTTAATATGGGTGCTCTCATTTTGTATTGTTTTCTAAGTCATTGAAGACAGTGGAGAAGTAGGGAAAGGGAACATGGTAGCTTGAGGGGACAAAACATCTCCCTCTTTGCTAGAAGCCTCCCAACAGTAGTATTTTAACGTTTCTGAAAACGTCAGTGACAGTGGGCAGAGCCGAGGACGGGTGTCCCTACGAGAGAATAGGTAGGGAAACGGGAATCTTGCTTTATGACACAGACGAGATCATCAATGCAGTGGGGACGAACTTGATATTTTTCAAGAACAGTGATGCACATCTCTTCAAGAAAAAGTGGATTCTAATTTGCTGCGAGCCTTTTGAAATGTCGGAACACGGACGGCAACAGAAATATTAAGATATTTTGGGATTTTCACAAACGTAGGCTCACCCTGTATTGGTACTTATTATGAGTATTCCAGGGCTTTTTAATGCCAAATATTTATTCATAGTAGATTCCATATTAGACAAAAAGCTAAGGAAACATGGTATTGAACCTCGATCACCGAGTGTTGAGAACTTGAAACAAAAAGTACTGTTTATTCACGCTTATTGTTTTGTTTATAAAGGTTAAGATTGTGAGTATTGACTTAACAGTAACCGTGTAACCTTACAGTGCTGGGGGCTTGGTTTGTGTGAGTGCGAAATTACACTTTGCAGTCCTATGGACAAACATAATGCAGCTAATTAACAGGAAGAGGAATAATCCTGTTTATGAAAGAATTGAAGTTAATGTAGTTGTGCTCACATATGTTAACATTGAGTGTTTGTGTATTCAGTGGAAAAAAATTGAACTTTGCTGATGATTAAATTTTATTTTATTTAAAACATTAAAAAAATTTTTTTTTTGAGACAGAATTTCACTCTTGTTGCCCAGGCTGGAGTGCAGTAGTGCCATCTCGGCTCACTGCAACCTCTGCTCCCGGGTTCAAGCGATTCTCCTGCCTCAGCCTCCCAAGTAGCTGGGATTACAGGCTCCCACCACCACGCCCGGCTAAAAAAAAATTTTTTTTTTTTTTTTTTTGTATTTTTAGTAGAGACAGGGTTTCGCCATGTTGGCCAGGCTGGTCTCAAACTCCTAACCTTAGATGATCCACCCATCTCGGCCTCCCAGAGGGCTGTGATTACAGACGTGAGCCACTGCGCCCAGCCTGCTGATGATTAAATTTTAAAACGCCAGATGTTTCTATAGGAGCAAACCTCATATACGGATTTTATAGCAAAAATTAAATGATTCTAAATAGCTTACGTTGACCTTGATTTAAAAGGCATCTTGCTCTTGTTTAATTTCCCACTTAATGCAAAGTGAAACACAGGGTTATGTTATGTCTTCATAACAGTCTTACACTCTGCTTCCTGAGTCCTAAAACTCGTGCATTGTCCTTTTAGTTTTCGCTTGTCTCCTGGTGTGCACACATGAAATAGCCTCCTGCCTGGTTAGGTACGGTCGGACCAGGTTTCCTCCACACCACCCTTGAAGTTGCCGGGAGCAGTCTCTAGATAGAGCTGGGAAATGCTATTTCCCTTGTTTGATGAGTGATCTGTGGGTTCATTGCCTCGAGCAAAGATTTGCTCTCCCGAAAGCCTCCATTTTATATCCTCAAGCACAGTGCAAGATAGGTTAACCCTGAGTACCATCTATTCTCTCCTGGAAGTTGGAATGAAATAGATGTGTATTATTAAAACAGTGCCACTACTTCCTTTAGGTCCAGTGAAGAAAAGCTGAAATGTGCGTAGCATCAGTCACAGATTGAGATGATTTGGGGAATACTGTTTATAAGTCAGAGAGAGGGTTTGGAGGCTGATGTTATCAGAAGACTGGGAAGTAGGCGCAGGGTTTTATTAGTATGTGCAATTATAAAATACAACAATTTGTCTGTTTTAGGCTGTATGTTAAGGCCTTGATGATTCTGTGGTGCTTTGAGATCCCTTGATTAAAGGTGATATGCAAGGGCAAAGCAATATTATGTAATAAACATATAATGCCCTGATGATGCTATTTCAGAGTGGGTTCTGAGGTACAGCACAGGTTTGATTGTTCTGAGTATGTTTTATGTCTTGTTTTCTAGCTGTTCAACTAGTTGGAGATTAACATTTTTTCTTTGTGAAAATCTTATCATCATTCATTTTCTTATTAACTTTGCATTTTTGCTTAAGAAGTGTCATCGTTTGCTATATGCCTAGAATTCTCAACTTTTTGAACTATAACATGACAAATATTGGTTAGAAGTTGTAGATTAGATGCTTCAGAATTATTAAACTCTTTATACCATTAATAATTGACAATTGATTTTAGTTTACATTCATGATGGAACAAATTCACCACTCTAAATCTTGAAGAGCTCTCACCACTAGCATGGCAAAGCAAAGCTAAGGATATATCCCTTGCAGCATAACCCTAAATTGATCAGGATATATACTGTTACGATGCACTAAACTTGCCTTGATGAATAAATACATTTTTGCTAGATGCAGTAAAACGTTAAGCTTTCTCTTCGTTGACAGTATGTGCTATTTAGAAACAAATGTTACACTCTTACTTTTTGTTGGAGGTGTCATTTTAATGTTATTTAATCTTTTATGTGTTAATTGTGCTTGTCAGATGTATAGGAAAATCCTGTTGGGGAGATGGGATGGGGTGGTGAAGTTACAATCTCTGTCATATTTTCAATAGAGATAATTTATTCTCGAACTACAATAATTGCTAAATCGAGGTTTTTGGCAAAGTCTTTTTATGGCCATGATTTTGACTCACTTTAAAAATTGATTTTTTAGCATTGGTTTTTGTTTTGCTTAAACTTACATTTAAAATTTATTTTTAAACATTCAATAAATTTTTGTGTTTAGCATAAGGAGTCTCATTTTTAATAATCCAAATGTCAATATTTTGGATGAGGGAGTGGCACCCCTAGTGAATGGATTTGCTGTACCCTTTAAAACATAATTTGTAGTTGGTACTTTTACTACATTCTGTAATATATATGTTCTATAAATATTACAAGTGTATTTATTTGAAATATTGGTTTTTCTTTGCTAAGAATAATTGAGTTTGAACTAGATTTAATAACGTCCTAGTGTAGTAGCTTATTTGTGAAAAAATCTGAAAATCTCTAAACAGAATATCATATGTTATATTTAGATTATTCGTTTATTTTTCAGCCAAGATCATAGTTCATGATGTGGCAATATTCGTCATTTATAGTTGTAGTGTGACTTATGTTAACCACTGTAGGTTTTCTGCAAGAAAATAATTACTGCCTGTGTTAATAATAAGTTCTAAAACTGGGCAGCAATGGTAGTTTTGTTTTCTGGATTGATAAAGTTATCAGGAAGTACATTCTTGTTTTTATAAGAGTATTGTATACAACATTTAGGCTACTATTTATAGCTTTGGACTAAAATTATACTTTATAGCATCTATTACATTGAAAACTTTAAGAGAGAAATTGACATTGTGAGAATAATGGCAATTTTGTGATTCGGAACATTTTAGTTGATAAAGCAGTTAAAGAAAAGCCCTGTATCTTTAACAACTGTTAATGTCGAAATTATAACAGAAAACAATTTGTAATAAGAGTTAAATGAGATAATGACAATTCTAGTTTTTTCCAGTACATTATATGTGCTTAATGAATGTTTTTATTGTAGTTCTCGTTATATCACTTCCATTCATGGAAGAATTATTGGAGCCCTCTTGTGGACAGGAAATTATTACTAAAATGTATTTTCTTTCAAAGTGAACTTTTATCACTTTTCCAAGTTAAAGTAAAATGACAAATGTTGAATATACTAGGAGAAAATGCCATGAAAGTAAAAGGCCCAGAAAATAGAAAATTGTTAACATTGAGAAAAGTATACTGAGATTTAATGCCGAAGGACTTTTTCCTCTTTACTTACAGCTCCTTTTTATTTTTCTTTCTTTTCCTAGATTCTTCTTTCAGGTTTAAGATGAAGGGTTTTATAAAGCCACAGGTTACATAAGTACCGTTTATATATATGTGTGACTTGAATAGCTTAATAACTAATACATTAAGAATTGAATGTTTCTTTAAATTTTTACTTGAATGTATCCCATATTTGGTATTTTGAATTAGACATTTTTATTAAGAAAAAAGATGACATTGCTTCCTTCAGCTCTGAATTCCTTCTTTCTGTCCCTGAATCCTACCCCAGCTTGTATCTGAAATGGTCTTTAGTTCATTTTAGGCCACAGTGATCTTTCCTTCCTGGAAACCATTTTCCTTTAGTGCTTTTGACATTCCTCTTATCAAATTTCTATGGATATAATATCACATTTATTTCACCTCTGATAGTTCTTAGACATTCAGAAATTGTTGAATGACTTTCTTGGCTCAAAAAGTATTACTGTCTTTTTTACTTATGGAAGAAGTAAATATCATTCCATACTAATAGTCGTATTAAATATGAAATCTGTAATGTCTGCTTTTGTTATCACTTGGAATATGAAAACTGTATTTGTAGTATTAAAGCTTGAAGTTATTTTAAATTAGGGGATAAAATACTGATGACACTAATAGTTTGCATAATATTCAACAGTAAATGTGTTTTAGGAGACTGAAACTTACACTTAGCAAATGTGCTCTTTGATTTTCTAAGTCTTATTCTGGGAGGGAAAAATGGAGTGAGACTGTAGAATTCATGGTAACCTGGAAACCTTGATAATAAGTTGTTCTGAACTACTACATTTTCTGAATACTTGGAGGTTGAGTTTTAAAATAGCCCAGTCTAACAATTTTGGATTACCATTGTATTTGCTTAAATGAAATGTACTATGCATAATTTAACTTATTTTT